GTCGTTTTCAACTAGGATCTCAACAAACATGAAGCAGTTTTGACATACACATCTCTCGCGTACCAAGTCTGTGAACTAAGGTTTTAAACACGACAGAGGAAAGTAAGAGCAAGTAGATAAAAAATATAAGTAGAAAAATTGAGTTTTTTACTTAGCGTGATGATTAACATGCTGGCTGGTATTTTAGTTACTACTCCCTCCGTAAAGAAATAATGATCTAAACCCTCTTATATTTCTTTACAGAGGGAGTATTTCTCTTCTAGTGTTTTTTCATTAAAACTAGTGAAGAAAGTAATGGAAGGCATCTAGGGGAATTGAGATACTTGTGAACTGTGTGCACACCAAAAAATAATCTGTGGGAGTGTCCTTAAACTCAGGAGTTACATGTAGGAGTGCGTGTGAAATTTTACCTTAATATAGAAGATAGGTCGAGTGCTGTCGGCTCTGACACTTTAATGGAGTAATGAGGACACAATTCAACATGAAACCAACTAAGATAATTTATTATTCCCACAGTTACAAGATGATAAAATGTTTTAGCATTGAGTTATTGCCATAGAGTAGTTTACTTTCTAGGCTATCAAGACAGGTATTTATGTTGGTGACTCTGTTAAAAAAATGCTAATGTATTAATCATTTAATTGTCATATTCGATATGGTTTGCATATGCAGTTTGAGAAAGAGGTATACACGAGAAATATTACAAGTCAACTGAAGAGGATTAATCAGACTGGTGTATTTTGTAGCATGTGTGCAACTCGACTGAACTCTTCTCTTGTAAAGGTAGCAGTACATAAACACACTCATGAGAAATAAATAGCATATCAACAAGCATTCAAAAGTACAGAAAATGTGATCACAGGAAAAAATAAGACTTTTCCAGACAGTCTTTTAACATCTATGTTTTTTATGGAAAGCATGCCATGTGTGCAGTTGTCATACATATTGAATTGAACATCTTCTAGCTTCAATCATGGAAAGACATACCTGTTGAAGCCAGCATATACATGGCCGAATGTGCCACGCCCAATCAGCTTTCCCTTCTTCCACCGTGGTCCAGGACTGGGTGGATTCTCTGATCTACCAGGACTACGAGATATAGGACTTGTTGGTGCGGAGTTGTTCGGTAAAAATGGGGAACTGTTAGAGATGCTTAATGGTGGAAGAGGCAATCGGTGGGTTTGCCTTTTCTTCCCCTCATCACGCCGGCTAGTTGGAGATTCAGGTACAATCCCACCAGCCCTTGGATGCAACGGAGACACACTTCCGCTATGCACCCTTGAACTTGGACCAGGACTCGTCATTCTTGGGCTTGGAATTGGTGAACACTCTGGACTACCTCGGCTAGGCTGCCAAAAGAACTGAGCTAGCATATCACCTCCCACTGAATTATGCCCAGATGTTTGCCCTGAGCCTGGACTGGAGCACTGACCAGACCCAAGGAAAACTACGTCTGGCTGAGGCTTAACCGCCCAAAAAGCTGATGTTGGAATCTGGTCAGGAAATATTGTTCTTGGGCTTTGAGAAGGGCTTGACATCAAACTATTTGGAGCACTCTCAAGAGCAACTTGTCGTGAATTTTGCAAACTAGATTGGTAACTGTCAGTGACAGCACCACTTGGAGATGTAGACAGAATTTGGTTACTAGGAAAAGCATTTCTTGGCTTTGTCACTTCCTTGGTGCTCCTTCTGGTGGTAGCACCTGAACACTCTTTACGCACACCGCTTCAAAAATAGAATATTGAAGAGTCATAACGATGTATTTGAGTGATTACAGCAACAAAATGATGTTGTTGAATGAAAAGTGGCACTAAGGATCATACCTTGAACTACTCGGTGCTGTAACATTGGTCACCTCGTTTCCTGCGGGGCTCTGAAGTTGAGAATCTGCACGATCATCACTGTCAATAGAACTGTTGCTGGAGACAGAAGCATTTGCAAGCCGGTTCAGGGCTGGCAGTGGTAGTTGATGTCCTGTACCACTCTTCTCCAAAATGGGCTTTGAGTCGGGATTATCAGATACAATACGTCTCACCCCAGCACGTGATCTAGGAAGAGGGAGTGGTTGTGCATGTGCTCTATCTGTTGCAAAGCTTTGACAGCGAGAAACCTCTTTTGAAGGGGATGTGGAGCGTGAGTGGGCAGTAGACCAGCAACGTTTCTCAGCAGTTTGGTCTTTACCACGTCTGCGACCCCCTCGTGATTTTGTGCTCCCCTTTTGCTCACTTGGACTTATGAACCGCTGAAATGTGTCAATTAGATTTTCTGTGGCCGACTTCTTTACTTCTTTGGATGAAGACCTTCCCCACCATGGTGGCATGTTGAATAAGAAATAAGTTGCAGAAGAATTAACTGGGCTATATATTTATAGTGAAGTCCTGCAGTTTAATAAACTATCATGTTCTGCCAAACAGTTGATGCATTGGACCATCCATTTCCCCAGTGGACCAGCAAAAAACCTTCCACACAACGGAATCTGAAACGTAGAGATTTCTTGTTAGTGCCTGTTCATGTTGAGATCAATGCTCAATGCCTGCTTCATCCCAAATAGTGAAATCAAATTCATAATAAGCATCACATAAATAACAGCAATGAGCATAAGCACACAGCATCATGACATTATTACGACAACTGAAAGAAAAATATAATTTTCAATAGATGAGTCTTGATTGCTGAGTGGATCCAGGTGACACATGCTTTCTTGATTAGGTTTTGGTGAATCCAGATGTACAGGCAGAATTTTAAAATCGCATTAATTTGAACAGGATAAATGCCATGTCAAGTTCTGTCAAGTATGTAGAATCATTTTTACACGCGTAAGGTACTTGTTGCAGCGCTGCCTGCTGCCCTGCTCATCCAAAAATGGAAGGGCGTGTCTAAGGTGGAAACACTCCAGAGTCTGGAAATCTGAAGACTTTGGTTTAGGGCCATTCGATAAGTTACCAACGTCTCAGATCAGATAAGTTACCAACATCTTGATATTTATATATTGAGGCCTTGAGGGGTAGTTGAGCATCTTGAGAATGTATGCCGATAAAGATAGGTATAGCAAATTATAACAGATTCAGCTTTGGGCAAAATGTTCAGATACAAGCAAACAGCAATTAATTCATCTCAATCCTGAAGAACATGCCATATCAAGGTCTGTAATCCGTCAGGCAACAATTCGACCCATTCTTATGGTTGAACTGCATTAATAGCTGATCGTTCACATGCGGTACTACATCAGCAGGCCTCTGTAAAGAGCTCCATGACAAAATGTGCATTCGAGCAGGCTGGGGCGGATCTAGATGGTGGCAGGAGCCGCGCCCAGAAATTGTGGGGGGCTAACTAATCGCTGGAGAGAACAAGCTCATACCTCGAACCCAATGGCCAACGACTGCGGACGGTGTGGAGGTAGCAGGAACGCGATGTTGCGATGAGGACGGACGGGAGCGGACGGCGGCGGCGCGAGTGGGAGGCGGGCGGTGTCAGGGGGCCGGCGCTGGGCGGGATTGAGGCGCCGGCGGTGACGGGGAGCGCGGTGGTGGAGTGGGGGAGATTTGAGCCGCGTTGGGCTTGGGTTGGTAGGTCACTCACTCAGGAGTCGGGAGGAAGAGGAAAGGAAGTGTTTTTTTCTCTTCGGTTTGGAACAGAGAAGAGAGAGGTGCGGGGAGCACGAGACGCAGGCAGGAGTATTATTTTTTATTTTTACCGCCAACGGCAGGAGGAAGACGGGGAAAAACCACCGTAAAACATGAGGAACGGCAGAGCTTGCTGAAAGAGGACGCCAAGTAACCAACTGCTCTCCGGGAGCCTCTCCGCAGAGGATAAGATCGAGTTAACTTCGGTCTTTTATGGGTATTAATTAATTCATTTCCTATAATGGCATTGGATTCCATTAATTTAGGTCTGTTTTGCCAGGGCTCTAATCCTAGCACCGTGTAATGGGGTTGTATTGTAGAAAAATGAATATATGCCTAATTGTGTATCCGGTATCACTACCTACTTTCTTTTGGGGTGAGTGTCACTACCCACTACCTACTTTCTTTTAGGGTGAGTGTCACTACCCACTGTTTCGCAAAAAAAAAGTGTCACTACCCACTACTACTACCATTTTGCATGTTTGGATTTTATCTACATGATAAGATCGAGTTAACTTCGATTTCATGGCATATTACTTAATTCATTTGCTGCGGCTGCATCAGATTTCATTAGTTTGGGTTTGTCTCACTTTTGCGGGAAGACGGGAAAAATTGTATAACCGAAAACAACCACCGTAAAACATGTGGAACGGTAGAGCTTAGCAAGGAAAGAAGTCAAGTAACCGACTGCTCTCCCGGAGCCTCGCCCGTGAGGATAAGGTCGAGTTAACTTCGGGCTTTATGGTGTATGAGTTAATTCATTTCCTATAATGGCATTGGATTCCATTAATTTGGGTTTGTTTTGCCATGGCTATAATCCTAGTATCGTGTAATGGGGACATGTCACTGTAGAAAAATGACTATATACTGGTATCATTATCTTTTTTTTAACCGGGCATAACCCCTTTCCATTACTCACACAACGGAAATACATCAGTTCAGTTGACACCAAGGAAACCTAGAAAGGGAAAAGCGAGTTCAACGCATCACTGGAAAACCCACGGTAAACACCTGTCATCGAGCAGTTCACCATGGACCAGAACAGCTACGAGAACCTAACAAACCAACATTCCAGCCATTACAAGCCTTACCAACCAGGCCACATCAGAAGCTCATACAAGAGTAAGGATCGGACTCCACACATAAGTTCGGCCACCAATACAAGAGGCAAGCAAATGAACCATCAGACGATGTAGATGCATATCCGATCCGCGCCAGGTGCACTCGAACTTCAGCTCTTCATTGATTCACCTGGTGCCGCACAGATTCTTGTCATGTTCGAGGCGTTGATCCTCAACATCTTAGCTCCATGCTCCATTGCCTCCCGGTCCTCTCCCATCAGCAACCCTACCCAATAAGTGAGGTAACCACATGCAGAGTATACCACATCAAATGGGGATCTCTTTTTTTGGAACTCAAAGGTGGTTTTGTTACGGCTATTCCACATCGCCCAGCATAAAGCAGCTAAGCCAAAGGTATAAAACTTCTCCCCATCTGGGAGAAACATGTAACACCAAGAGAAGTATTGCCAAATATTATTAGGGCAATGATTCGTGCCCATGACACAGCTCACAGTCCTCCATAGGACTCTAGCCACAGGACAAGTAAATAATAGGTGCTGAGAGGTTTCTCTGCCATCACAAAAGGAACAGGGAGGGTTTCCCAACCACCTCCGTTTGCTCATAACATCTCTAGTTAAAACATCATCCTGGAATAATTGCCAAAGGAAAATCTGAACTTTTAGAGGATTTTTTTATCTCCAAATCCACTTGTAGTTACATCCAACTACATTTCTCTCCAAGTACTCATAGACAGATTTAGTGGTAAACTTATTTTTCTTTTTCCCAAGGGTCCAAATGACCTAGTCAGGCTCACTAGACAGAGGCCATGCCCCCACTCTAGCTTGGACTTCTTTCCACTGATCAAGTAGAGGAGGGTGTAAGCGTCTTCTAAAGAAGTTATTTTCCACTCTTTCTCTGAATTTAACAACAATGATCTCTTGATCATTATATTGCAAAAACTATATAACATAGGGAATTGCAAACATAGGGGAGGCCCATTCCCAACTGGGTTGATCCACACTCTAGCAAGGTTGCTAGAATTCAGCACCACCTTTCTGCCAGCAAGGTAGTGTTCTTTAACCTTCATAATGGCCTTCCAAGTCGGGGAATCACCAAATTTAGTTTTTACCGATGTCACCGTGTCTTTTTTAAAGTATTTTGCCCGGGTCACATCCTGCCACAACCCTTGTTGTGTCTCCAGCTTCCACTACCACTTGGTGAGTAAGCTAATATTTTGTTTATGAAGGTATTTCACCCCCATGCCCCCTTTTTCTTTTAAACGGCAAATTCCGGACCATTTAACTAAATGATATCGCTTTTGCCCCTCGTGTTATTGCCAGAAAAAACGCTTACGGTGCTTGTCTAGCTTATCAATCACCCCTTTTGGAAGTAAAAACATGGACATATAGTAGTAAACAATCCTGGTAAGCGATGAATTAAGGAGGATCAATACCACCCCCCGAAGAGGATGCATTACCAATCCAAGACTCGCAACATTTAAGGAATCTTTCATCCACAAAATCCCAGTCCAGGCTTCAGAGATTTGAGAAGCTAACTAGCACCCCCAAGTACTTCATGGGAAGTGACCAATGCTACAATTAAAAAGCCCAGCATAAAAGGGTATACTATCATCATCTTCCCCAACACAAAGGATCTCACTTTTCATGAAGTTGATCTTCAGCCCTGACATAAGCTCGAACATGTATAGTTTGAGATTAACAGCTGCATCGTTGTCATGTTCAAAGTAGATAACCGTGTCATCTGCATTTTGTAAGATAGCCACTCCCCCTCAATCAAATTTGGCGCAAGGCCAGTTATCATTTTTTCTGAGGATTAAGTACCATCTTTGATAGGGTTTCCACAGCAAGATTAAACAAAAATGGAGAGTAAGGGTCACCTTGACGAACCCCTTTATGGTTTTTAAAGTATGGACCAGTTTCATTATTGAGCTTAATGCTCAAAGTGCCATTATGTAGGATACTTTCAACCCACCCACACCAGGTCGGCCGAAAGCCACGATTGAAGTGGCATTTAAGGAGGAAATCCCAGTTTATCTTATTGTAAGCTTTTTCGAAATCCAGTTTTAATACAATCCCAATTTTCCTCTTATGTTGAGTGTGATGTAACACCTAATGCGAGGATTCCATCCATAATGTTCCTATGCTTGATGAACGCATTTTGGTGCTTTCTAATCAGCTTGTCCGCAAATACGACAACTCTGTTATCAAGCGCTTCGGTGATCAGCTTATATGGGCATCTAAGAAGGCATATGGGGCGGTATTGTTGAATTTTTTTCGCCCCGTTCATTTTTTGTATCAAAGTAGTTATCCCATAGTTCAAACCAGCAACATCCAGTGTGTTGTTATGGAAGGCTTCGAACAACCGCATAATGTCTTTCTTAACAAAATCCCAACAATGTTTACAAAACTCCGCTGGTATATTATCAGGGCCAGGGGCTCTATTACTTTCCATGCTAAACATGCCCTTTTTCACTTCCTCTTTTGTAAACACGCTGGTAAGAATTAGGTTATCATCGTCGGTAAGCTTTTCATCACTGGTCCAGGTATCAGGTGCCAAGTGGAACAGGTTCCCCCTCGTAGGACCAAAGAGGTCCTTGTAAAATGTTGTGGCATGGG